TCCTTGATTTTACAATCCTTGGTTGGTTGGTGTGAGCTGGACTCTGAAAGAAGTATAGTTCTATCCTTGATTTTACAATCCTTGGTTGGTTGGTGTGAGCTGGACTCTGAAAGAAGTATAGTTCTATCCTTGATTTTACAATCCTTGGTTGGTTGGTGTGAGCTGGACTCTGAAAGAAGTATAGTTCTATCCTTGATTTTACAATCCTTGGTTGGTTGGTGTGAGCTGGACTCTGAAAGAAGTATAGTTCTATCCTTGATTTTACAATCCTTGGTTGGTTGGTGTGAGCTGGACTCTGAAAGAAGTATAGTTCTATCCTTGATTTTACAATCCTTGGTTGGTTGGTGTGAGCTGGACTCTGAAAGAAGTATAGTTCTATCCTTGATTTTACAATCCTTGGTTGGTTGGTGTGAGCTGGACTCTGAAAGAAGTATAGTTCTATCCTTGATTTTACAATCCTTGGTTGGTTGGTGTGAGCTGGACTCTGAAAGAAGTATAGTTCTATCCTTGATTTTACAATCCTTGGTTGGTTGGTGTGAGCTGGACTCTGAAAGAAGTATAGTTCTATCCTTGATTTTACAATCCTTGGTTGGTTGGTGTGAGCTGGACTCTGAAAGAAGTATAGTTCTATCCTTGATTTTACAATCCTTGGTTGGTTGGTGTGAGCTGGACTCTGAAAGAAGTATAGTTCTATCCTTGATTTTACAATCCTTGGTTGGTTGGTGTGAGCTGGACTCTGAAAGAAGTATAGTTCTATCCTTGATTTTACAATCCTTGGTTGGTTGGTGTGAGCTGGACTCTGAAAGAAGTATAGTTCTATCCTTGATTTTACAATCCTTGGTTGGTTGGTGTGAGCTGGACTCTGAAAGAAGTATAGTTCTATCCTTGATTTTACAATCCTTGGTTGGTTGGTGTGAGCTGGACTCTGAAAGAAGTATAGTTCTATCCTTGATTTTACAATCCTTGGTTGGTTGGTGTGAGCTGGACTCTGAAAGAAGTATAGTTCTATCCTTGATTTTACAATCCTTGGTTGGTTGGTGTGAGCTGGACTCTGAAAGAAGTATAGTTCTATCCTTGATTTTACAATCCTTGGTTGGTTGGTGTGAGCTGGACTCTGAAAGAAGTATAGTTCTATCCTTGATTTTACAATCCTTGGTTGGTTGGTGTGAGCTGGACTCTGAAAGAAGTATAGTTCTATCCTTGATTTTACAATCCTTGGTTGGTTGGTGTGAGCTGGACTCTGAAAGAAGTATAGTTCTATCCTTGATTTTACAATCCTTGGTTGGTTGGTGTGAGCTGGACTCTGAAAGAAGTATAGTTCTATCCTTGATTTTACAATCCTTGGTTGGTTGGTGTGAGCTGGACTCTGAAAGAAGTATAGTTCTATCCTTGATTTTACAATCCTTGGTTGGTTGGTGTGAGCTGGACTCTGAAAGAAGTATAGTTCTATCCTTGATTTTACAATCCTTGGTTGGTTGGTGTGAGCTGGACTCTGAAAGAAGTATAGTTCTATCCTTGATTTTACAATCCTTGGTTGGTTGGTGTGAGCTGGACTCTGAAAGAAGTATAGTTCTATCCTTGATTTTACAATCCTTGGTTGGTTGGTGTGAGCTGGACTCTGAAAGAAGTATAGTTCTATCCTTGATTTTACAATCCTTGGTTGGTTGGTGTGAGCTGGACTCTGAAAGAAGTATAGTTCTATCCTTGATTTTACAATCCTTGGTTGGTTGGTGTGAGCTGGACTCTGAAAGAAGTATAGTTCTATCCTTGATTTTACAATCCTTGGTTGGTTGGTGTGAGCTGGACTCTGAAAGAAGTATAGTTCTATCCTTGATTTTACAATCCTTGGTTGGTTGGTGTGAGCTGGACTCTGAAAGAAGTATAGTTCTATCCTTGATTTTACAATCCTTGGTTGGTTGGTGTGAGCTGGACTCTGAAAGAAGTATAGTTCTATCCTTGATTTTACAATCCTTGGTTGGTTGGTGTGAGCTGGACTCTGAAAGAAGTATAGTTCTATCCTTGATTTTACAATCCTTGGTTGGTTGGTGTGAGCTGGACTCTGAAAGAAGTATAGTTCTATCCTTGATTTTACAATCCTTGGTTGGTTGGTGTGAGCTGGACTCTGAAAGAAGTATAGTTCTATCCTTGATTTTACAATCCTTGGTTGGTTGGTGTGAGCTGGACTCTGAAAGAAGTATAGTTCTATCCTTGATTTTACAATCCTTGGTTGGTTGGTGTGAGCTGGACTCTGAAAGAAGTATAGTTCTATCCTTGATTTTACAATCCTTGGTTGGTTGGTGTGAGCTGGACTCTGAAAGAAGTATAGTTCTATCCTTGATTTTACAATCCTTGGTTGGTTGGTGTGAGCTGGACTCTGAAAGAAGTATAGTTCTATCCTTGATTTTACAATCCTTGGTTGGTTGGTGTGAGCTGGACTCTGAAAGAAGTATAGTTCTATCCTTGATTTTACAATCCTTGGTTGGTTGGTGTGAGCTGGACTCTGAAAGAAGTATAGTTCTATCCTTGATTTTACAATCCTTGGTTGGTTGGTGTGAGCTGGACTCTGAAAGAAGTATAGTTCTATCCTTGATTTTACAATCCTTGGTTGGTTGGTGTGAGCTGGACTCTGAAAGAAGTATAGTTCTATCCTTGATTTTACAATCCTTGGTTGGTTGGTGTGAGCTGGACTCTGAAAGAAGTATAGTTCTATCCTTGATTTTACAATCCTTGGTTGGTTGGTGTGAGCTGGACTCTGAAAGAAGTATAGTTCTATCCTTGATTTTACAATCCTTGGTTGGTTGGTGTGAGCTGGACTCTGAAAGAAGTATAGTTCTATCCTTGATTTTACAATCCTTGGTTGGTTGGTGTGAGCTGGACTCTGAAAGAAGTATAGTTCTATCCTTGATTTTACAATCCTTGGTTGGTTGGTGTGAGCTGGACTCTGAAAGAAGTATAGTTCTATCCTTGATTTTACAATCCTTGGTTGGTTGGTGTGAGCTGGACTCTGAAAGAAGTATAGTTCTATCCTTGATTTTACAATCCTTGGTTGGTTGGTGTGAGCTGGACTCTGAAAGAAGTATAGTTCTATCCTTGATTTTACAATCCTTGGTTGGTTGGTGTGAGCTGGACTCTGAAAGAAGTATAGTTCTATCCTTGATTTTACAATCCTTGGTTGGTTGGTGTGAGCTGGACTCTGAAAGAAGTATAGTTCTATCCTTGATTTTACAATCCTTGGTTGGTTGGTGTGAGCTGGACTCTGAAAGAAGTATAGTTCTATCCTTGATTTTACAATCCTTGGTTGGTTGGTGTGAGCTGGACTCTGAAAGAAGTATAGTTCTATCCTTGATTTTACAATCCTTGGTTGGTTGGTGTGAGCTGGACTCTGAAAGAAGTATAGTTCTATCCTTGATTTTACAATCCTTGGTTGGTTGGTGTGAGCTGGACTCTGAAAGAAGTATAGTTCTATCCTTGATTTTACAATCCTTGGTTGGTTGGTGTGAGCTGGACTCTGAAAGAAGTATAGTTCTATCCTTGATTTTACAATCCTTGGTTGGTTGGTGTGAGCTGGACTCTGAAAGAAGTATAGTTCTATCCTTGATTTTACAATCCTTGGTTGGTTGGTGTGAGCTGGACTCTGAAAGAAGTATAGTTCTATCCTTGATTTTACAATCCTTGGTTGGTTGGTGTGAGCTGGACTCTGAAAGAAGTATAGTTCTATCCTTGATTTTACAATCCTTGGTTGGTTGGTGTGAGCTGGACTCTGAAAGAAGTATAGTTCTATCCTTGATTTTACAATCCTTGGTTGGTTGGTGTGAGCTGGACTCTGAAAGAAGTATAGTTCTATCCTTGATTTTACAATCCTTGGTTGGTTGGTGTGAGCTGGACTCTGAAAGAAGTATAGTTCTATCCTTGATTTTACAATCCTTGGTTGGTTGGTGTGAGCTGGACTCTGAAAGAAGTATAGTTCTATCCTTGATTTTACAATCCTTGGTTGGTTGGTGTGAGCTGGACTCTGAAAGAAGTATAGTTCTATCCTTGATTTTACAATCCTTGGTTGGTTGGTGTGAGCTGGACTCTGAAAGAAGTATAGTTCTATCCTTGATTTTACAATCCTTGGTTGGTTGGTGTGAGCTGGACTCTGAAAGAAGTATAGTTCTATCCTTGATTTTACAATCCTTGGTTGGTTGGTGTGAGCTGGACTCTGAAAGAAGTATAGTTCTATCCTTGATTTTACAATCCTTGGTTGGTTGGTGTGAGCTGGACTCTGAAAGAAGTATAGTTCTATCCTTGATTTTACAATCCTTGGTTGGTTGGTGTGAGCTGGACTCTGAAAGAAGTATAGTTCTATCCTTGATTTTACAATCCTTGGTTGGTTGGTGTGAGCTGGACTCTGAAAGAAGTATAGTTCTATCCTTGATTTTACAATCCTTGGTTGGTTGGTGTGAGCTGGACTCTGAAAGAAGTATAGTTCTATCCTTGATTTTACAATCCTTGGTTGGTTGGTGTGAGCTGGACTCTGAAAGAAGTATAGTTCTATCCTTGATTTTACAATCCTTGGTTGGTTGGTGTGAGCTGGACCCTGAAAGAAGTATTCCTTCTCAAATAGAAATATCGACACAAATATCAATAAAGTGTCAGGAGAGCTAGTGCTATATACCCTATAAACAATTACGTTGCATCTAACAAGAAAAGTGTATTTTTACTTTACAAGTGAGAAATGGAGATACAGGAAGTTTCTCAAAACATTACAACGGTAGGACAGCATACAATTTGATTTGATATTTATATTTTACTGACACATTTGACAGATATTAAAAATATATAATGTCACGATTCATTATTTTATGTTCTGTTGTTGTGAACACTCCATTTACGATGGTAGGGAGCTTGCTTGTTAAATTAAACACAGACTGATTGATTGCATAATTAATTAATGCGGAGGATTGGATAGAAATTCCAGAATCTTGAATAATAAATTTCAACCATAAACCGTAAAACATCTCAGGCCTGGGTTCCACCTCCCTGCATCTTTGGTATTTCCAAATCAAACAATTTTAGACATTCAATCAAAGTTTGTGCATTGAGTCAATTCTGCAACTTCTGAGAGAGTGGACATCTGAAAGAAAACACAATTATATAAAAGAAGACAGCTGAATAGAACTCTTTCTGATTGAAATGTCAGAAATAATGATGACACTAGGATTCGTACTTATTAGCCTTCTACCGGGAATCATGTCTTTTCCACAAGAAATCGGGGTGAGGATACCCAATCTTTGTTTAACCACTTCCGGTTCTCTGTGCAGGTTCCCATTCATTTTCAAAGGAAAACGGTATACAGAGTGTACTTACACGGAGTCTCCTACACCTTGGTGCGCTACAAGGGTAGACACTGATGACACAGTTATAACCAATCAGTGGGAGGACTGTGATCCATTTAGCTGCCCCATCGAGAACATAAATGTACCATCCTGCACAACGGTATCCGGTCCAGACCCGTTTAAGCAATGTATTTTCCCGTTCCGCCATGCTGGTGTTGTGTACAACAAGTGTACAACTGTAGGACTAGACCAACCCTGGTGTTCTACACTGACAACATCTGGTGGAGACCATGTTAGTGGGAAAGGAAAGTACGGGATTTGCCCACTTTCTTGCCCTGGAGTAGAGAGAACATTAAATCAAACCTGTAATGAAGGAGAAACCTTCATTCAAGGATGCAATTCTTGCATCTGTTCAGAAGGCAAGGTTACTTGTACAGTAATTCAGAACTGTGGAACATGTACTCGTGGTCAAACTTGGAGGGATGGATGTAACACATGTACATGTTCAGAGCTTGGATTTCCGGCATGTACCGAAAAGGCATGCTTACCATCTTGTAAAACAACATCAGGCCCGGCTTCTGGTCAAACCTGTGTTTTTCCATTCCGATGGGCTGGACAAGAGTATAAAAACTGTGCTGCATGGATTTGGTCTGGAGAAAATGAAGGAAAACTATGGTGCAGTACAAGAACTGATATCAATGGAAACCATGTCAACGGTGGTGGCTACTACGGGTTCTGTCCAAGTTCTTGCATCAATAGTGATGATGATTTTGATTTTGATATTGATCCTAGATTTGGCACAAAGGAAAACCAGGCCGGAGTTGAAGAAACTGAAACTAAAATAGTTTTTAATGTAGAGATAGAAGACCCAGCAATTATTTTCATGGATGAAGAAAGTCAACCTTCTTAATTTGATAAAATCTTTAAATTAAATAAATATGTTTTCTAATATTTTGTCCTGCTTTATTAAATGTTTTACCCCCTCTTTATACATAGATTAGTTCATTTCATACTGTTTTATATTCCCCTTTCCCCGTTGTTAAATATTTGTATTTTCAATCTTTAGAAAGAATAAGATATTGAAATGAATAAATGAATAATTAAATCAATACTTCTTTATTTATTTATAAAGTTCTTTGATGTTTTACTCTAAGCTGCTTTGTTTAATAAATAAAAGCTGGTTTCATTAACATCGACAGTATGGTAATTATGTAAAAGAACATCTCAGAAACACATAAGGAACGTTTTCATAAGGGTTGAAATTAAGAACATTTACGCAGTATGATTATCTATGTATTATAGCTTCCCCCCCAAAAAAATATGAAATTCCATTATTTTTTATGTATTTCAAGTTCTATAAGTATTTAGAATTTCCACATCTATAAAGCAGTATACTTTATTAATTGTCTGTCTGTTTGGAGGTCCCATCATAACTCATAGACCGTTGAGCCGATTTTCTCAAATTTGGATTGGAAAACTCGGCTTAAAGGGACAGACCGGCTATGTAAGGTAAAATAACTGATATGCAGTGTTGTGGAAAGCTTCTTTAGGATTCATTTGAGACTATAAAACTTTTGAAAGATCTGTAAATCCTGAGTTTGAGCGCAAATTCGACGTTCAAAACTTCTACTTTGGGGGTGGATACGTATTCAGAATCACTTTTTTTAAGCTATTAAATAACGACGACAAAAAATGAAAACAAAGCTCTACAGTAAATTAATTATTTGTTTAGGAATTTAATAGTTCCACCCCCAAGTAGGAGTTTTGAACGTCGAATTTGCGCTCAAACTCAGAATATACAGATCTTTAAAAAGTTTTATATGTCTCAAATGAATCCTAAAGAAGCTTACCACAACACTGCATACTCTGTTCAACTACCATACATAGCCGGTCTGTCCCTTTAACTAGAGGAATCTTGTACGTTGATTCAACAATTTTCAGTTGAGTTGGTCGACTTATATTCCAGGCAGAGCTAGAGTCCCAAGCTAGTATATAAATAAATATATTTAATATTTTTACAAAGTTTTTTGTCTTTAAATATTTAGTAATAAAAAAATATACAATAAATTGTGTTCAATATAGTTTCACAATCATTCATTCAATTTTCTTTATTTCTGTTGAGTTATATAGTTTTGTTTTTATTCTATAACTGTTAAATGGAAATGTGTATTTAAACATTATTTATTAAACAGTTTCAACACCATTTATATTCTTGTTCTGTTTGACTTTAGTATTTTTGTTTGAAAGTTAAACTGAAAGCCCTCATTCTCGTCATTTTATTTAAACTTTTAGACATACATTCTTCTAGAGCTCATCTTTCTCTGGGCCGTTGGTTGGCAGAGGAGGGACACAAAAAATGTCAACAAAAAAAGCAAACTATTGTTAAAGAATAACAAGCAAAATTATTCAATAAAGAACATGAAAATGACCAGCACTCATCCCTAAAAAACAATCAAAGAAATTAACAAAAATAAAAATAAATTTCAAAAAGAAAAATTAAAATTTTTTTGAAATTATAAGAATTGTAAAAACTTAGTTTTGTAACTATTGTTAAAATTGTTGCAAAAAAGTTGTTAATAATGATAGTTTAAATAGTTATGAACAGACCTTGACCATGATATTTGAAACCGGCTAAACATTGCATTGTTTTATTAATTATTAACCCTATTCCTGCTGGGGGGGGTCATGTAGTTTTTTTTACATAACTCAAAAAGTATTGGTCTGAGGCTGTTGTAATTTTCTAACTTTTCCTACATACCCAAAGCCCTCCCTTTAGGCCTAAAGCCGGGCTTTAATACTAACTGCCTGAGTCCTCAGGCACACTGCCTGAATGACTGCTTTTTACTGTAACAAACTAAATCTTTGTTTTGACCCACTTCCACTTGTCAGATTTTGATAAAATTTAGCTTTTTGGAAAGCCTTTGACATAAGGAAACGAATAGCGAAAAAAAAATTGCAAATTTTTTGCAAACAACCTGTCTAAGGAAATTTGCACATTTTTAGTTTTTCTTGATTAAAAATCAGGTTATTTAAAATTTTGCACAAATTTTTGCATATTTTCAAAAATATATAATTTTTCATTTTTTGGACAAATTTCTTTTTTGCTAACATTTTTACTGTATAACTGGATTTTGCGATAAAAAATTCAATTTTTGCAAATTTGCAATTTTTTTGCAGATTCTAAATGTAGAGCACAAGAGCTTTCCAATGATATATCATATGTCATATTTGGACATCAAACATGGGATTTAGAGGGGGGGGGGCCAAATTGACCCCCCCCCATCTTTTGAAAACGATCGTTCCATCTTTAACTTTTAAAACTGTCTCTGATCTATTTTTAATTGTTTCGTTTTGCGTCTTGTTCCTCGGTGTTTAAATGCTCAAAGTGAAAATTGCCCATCCCTACTTGTCCTTTAATAAAGGAATTAAAACCTCTTTTGATTTTACTTAAAAAGGTGACAAAACGGTTTAACAGTTTGATCGTGAAAAATTTATTTGTTTTAACATATTTTTCATATTTAATAAATAGACTAATTTATCTGAGATATTAGAAGTTTAGATAATTTTTATATTTTTTCATCATTTACAATCTGATTTAGTAAACTACCACCGATTGAAATTCTGAATCACCAATTCTGAGTTAAAAATTTATGAGGGTAGGTTTTGTTAATAAATTAGCGAGTGAATCGAAGTTTAAGGATTTAAACCGGTGGTTGGAAGTTCAGCGATCTCTAGAATACATTAAATTTTGCGTCCATTTTGACATGGCAGAGAATCCATTTTGACATGGCAGAGGTACCATTTTGAAACGCAAAGACTTTATAGTTCCGTTGGACAATAAAACGAAAAACACGAAAGTCGTAAATATATTCCAAAGTATTTTAGGGACACACTGTACCTACTTTTTGACTTTAAAACTGACTTAAAAACTGTACTTAATAAAAAAAATATGTATAAACGGTTTGCTTGAAATATATTTCATTAATTTATCTATTCTGATGGACATTCGTATTCTCCATCCTTGATCTGCTGAATCAAATCCTAAAATAATAATTTCAATGAAAAATAAAATAATGATAAGTTAACTTCTATCTATTTTTGGTTTCCTAAAGGACTGTCCTTTTATTTGTAAGTGACCCATGTTTGAAAACGTTTTTTGTTTTAGAATCAATAATTCAAAAGACACTTTTGCATATAAACTACAATTCAACATTAACGATTCTCAGAGAGAAAATTATGAATCGCTCATTCATTCCTGATCATACCAAGCTATTTAGGGAACCTGTAAGAATCGAATATGTAAATCTTCAAATAATAGGTCCCATTGAGAACTAGTTATGATCAAAAACAGTCATAACAAGGAAACGTTGGAATAGGAAGACGGCTTTTATACTTTGAATAGTCCGAATGAATATGAGATTCTGCAATTGTGCAGTGCAAACAGACCCATTTCACTTATTAATTGATATATAAGTTACTAGAGTGGTCGGCTTTTGTATCAATACAATAAGGATGACTTTTTTATTTCAGTTTTGTTTACCATCAAACTTTTTCAAATCAATAATTTACAAGCAAACTAATTTGAAGCTTTTAATTGGCAGCTTCTCTTTGTTTCCATGTTTACGTGTATCCATGCTGCTTGAAAGCTATATTCAAATCAATAGTTTACAAGCAAACTAATTTGAAGCTGTTATTGACAGCTTCTCTTTGTTTCCATGTTTACGTGTATCCATGCTGTTTGAAAGCTTGATTCTAAATTTGAAGTTGAAATTCGTCTTGAGTGTATTGATATATACGACGACAATTTGCACTGTAACAACATTAAAGATGCTTTAAATGCCTATTTCACAGTGTTCTGGTTCTCTCTGTATTTAAACTAATTTGGATACTAATCTACTCTTTGGAAGAAATGCATTCAGGTTTTCTATTGAGATGAATAATTTGTAGTTTCTAAAGAAAATCTGGAGACCATTACTTTTTCAATTGCGGCTCCTTAGAAAATTTGATTATTTTTGTATACTCTTTCATCTTTTACTCAGCAATAGGATTATTTTGATTTTAAAGGAATAGATTTCAAATTCGAAATCTACAATGTTTCCCATTTTGGAGTTAGCAGCATAACAAAGGCAATATATGCTCAAATATGTCTGTGAGGGTAGAATTGTCGAATCTTCATCATTTTAAATATTCAATAGTAAAAGACACCTGGCCTTTCACAATTAAAGTAATTTTTCTCCAAACATGAAAAAAATCATTTCCCAAAAAAATATATCTGTAAGACTTACAAGAAAACATTTAAAACTTTTTTTCATTTTCCGAGGGAAACTTCACAAAATGATGAAATCATTTTAACATTACCTGTGGTGTTTCTCCGTCAATGGTGCAGCCAACGGACTGCGCTGTTCCCAAAACTTCGCGCACAGTTCCTGAGAAATCTTTCGCCAAAGATCTTGGACGCATTACTCTACAAGATTATTATTATCATATTCAAATGGGGCCTCTGAAAAGTTTAAAAACAGACCATAATTAGTCCCGTCACAGTAATGGGACCTTTCCGACTTTTTTCTCTCTGTTGGCGCACGTGCAGCTGTACAATTTTTAAGTCTTTATTTGATAGTTCTATCCTTGATTTTACAATCCTTGGTTGGTTGGTGTGAGCTGGACTCTGAAAGAAGTATAGTTCTATCCTTGATTTTACAATCCTTGGTTGGTTGGTGTGAGCTGGACCCTGAAAGAAGTATTCCTTCTCAAATAGAAATATCGACACAAATATCAATAAAGTGTCAGGAGAGCTAGTGCTATATACCCTATAAACAATTACGTTGCATCTAACAAGAAAAGTGTATTTTTACTTTACAAGTGAGAAATGGAGATACAGGAAGTTTCTCAAAACATTACAACGGTAGGACAGCATACAATTTGATTTGATATTTATATTTTACTGACACATTTGACAGATATTAAAAATATATAATGTCACGATTCATTATTTTATGTTCTGTTGTTGTGAACACTCCATTTACGATGGTAGGGAGCTTGCTTGTTAAATTAAACACAGACTGATTGATTGCATAATTAATTAATGCGGAGGATTGGATAGAAATTCCAGAATCTTGAATAATAAATTTCAACCATAAACCGTAAAACATCTCAGGCCTGGGTTCCACCTCCCTGCATCTTTGGTATTTCCAAATCAAACAATTTTAGACATTCAATCAAAGTTTGTGCATTGAGTCAATTCTGCAACTTCTGAGAGAGTGGACATCTGAAAGAAAACACAATTATATAAAAGAAGACAGCTGAATAGAACTCTTTCTGATTGAAATGTCAGAAATAATGATGACACTAGGATTCGTACTTATTAGCCTTCTACCGGGAATCATGTCTTTTCCACAAGAAATCGGGGTGAGGATACCCAATCTTTGTTTAACCACTTCCGGTTCTCTGTGCAGGTTCCCATTCATTTTCAAAGGAAAACGGTATACAGAGTGTACTTACACGGAGTCTCCTACACCTTGGTGCGCTACAAGGGTAGACACTGATGACACAGTTATAACCAATCAGTGGGAGGACTGTGATCCATTTAGCTGCCCCATCGAGAACATAAATGTACCATCCTGCACAACGGTATCCGGTCCAGACCCGTTTAAGCAATGTATTTTCCCGTTCCGCCATGCTGGTGTTGTGTACAACAAGTGTACAACTGTAGGACTAGACCAACCCTGGTGTTCTACACTGACAACATCTGGTGGAGACCATGTTAGTGGGAAAGGAAAGTACGGGATTTGCCCACTTTCTTGCCCTGGAGTAGAGAGAACATTAAATCAAACCTGTAATGAAGGAGAAACCTTCATTCAAGGATGCAATTCTTGCATCTGTTCAGAAGGCAAGGTTACTTGTACAGTAATTCAGAACTGTGGAACATGTACTCGTGGTCAAACTTGGAGGGATGGATGTAACACATGTACATGTTCAGAGCTTGGATTTCCGGCATGTACCGAAAAGGCATGCTTACCATCTTGTAAAACAACATCAGGCCCGGCTTCTGGTCAAACCTGTGTTTTTCCATTCCGATGGGCTGGACAAGAGTATAAAAACTGTGCTGCATGGATTTGGTCTGGAGAAAATGAAGGAAAACTATGGTGCAGTACAAGAACTGATATCAATGGAAACCATGTCAACGGTGGTGGCTACTACGGGTTCTGTCCAAGTTCTTGCATCAATAGTGATGATGATTTTGATTTTGATATTGATCCTAGATTTGGCACAAAGGAAAACCAGGCCGGAGTTGAAGAAACTGAAACTAAAATAGTTTTTAATGTAGAGATAGAAGACCCAGCAATTATTTTCATGGATGAAGAAAGTCAACCTTCTTAATTTGATAAAATCTTTAAATTAAATAAATATGTTTTCTAATATTTTGTCCTGCTTTATTAAATGTTTTACCCCCTCTTTATACATAGATTAGTTCATTTCATACTGTTTTATATTCCCCTTTCCCCGTTGTTAAATATTTGTATTTTCAATCTTTAGAAAGAATAAGATATTGAAATGAATAAATGAATAATTAAATCAATACTTCTTTATTTATTTATAAAGTTCTTTGATGTTTTACTCTAAGCTGCTTTGTTTAATAAATAAAAGCTGGTTTCATTAACATCGACAGTATGGTAATTATGTAAAAGAACATCTCAGAAACACATAAGGAACGTTTTCATAAGGGTTGAAATTAAGAACATTTACGCAGTATGATTATCTATGTATTATAGCTTCCCCCCCAAAAAAATATGAAATTCCATTATTTTTTATGTATTTCAAGTTCTATAAGTATTTAGAATTTCCACATCTATAAAGCAGTATACTTTATTAATTGTCTGTCTGTTTGGAGGTCCCATCATAACTCATAGACCGTTGAGCCGATTTTCTCAAATTTGGATTGGAAAACTCGGCTTAAAGGGACAGACCGGCTATGTAAGGTAAAATAACTGATATGCAGTGTTGTGGAAAGCTTCTTTAGGATTCATTTGAGACTATAAAACTTTTGAAAGATCTGTAAATCCTGAGTTTGAGCGCAAATTCGACGTTCAAAACTTCTACTTTGGGGGTGGATACGTATTCAGAATCACTTTTTTTAAGCTATTAAATAACGACGACAAAAAATGAAAACAAAGCTCTACAGTAAATTAATTATTTGTTTAGGAATTTAATAGTTCCACCCCCAAGTAGGAGTTTTGAACGTCGAATTTGCGCTCAAACTCAGAATATACAGATCTTTAAAAAGTTTTATATGTCTCAAATGAATCCTAAAGAAGCTTACCACAACACTGCATACTCTGTTCAACTACCATACATAGCCGGTCTGTCCCTTTAACTAGAGGAATCTTGTACGTTGATTCAACAATTTTCAGTTGAGTTGGTCGACTTATATTCCAGGCAGAGCTAGAGTCCCAAGCTAGTATATAAATAAATATATTTAATATTTTTACAAAGTTTTTTGTCTTTAAATATTTAGTAATAAAAAAATATACAATAAATTGTGTTCAATATAGTTTCACAATCATTCATTCAATTTTCTTTATTTCTGTTGAGTTATATAGTTTTGTTTTTATTCTATAACTGTTAAATGGAAATGTGTATTTAAACATTATTTATTAAACAGTTTCAACACCATTTATATTCTTGTTCTGTTTGACTTTAGTATTTTTGTTTGAAAGTTAAACTGAAAGCCCTCATTCTCGTCATTTTATTTAAACTTTTAGACATACATTCTTCTAGAGCTCATCTTTCTCTGGGCCGTTGGTTGGCAGAGGAGGGACACAAAAAATGTCAACAAAAAAAGCAAACTATTGTTAAAGAATAACAAGCAAAATTATTCAATAAAGAACATGAAAATGACCAGCACTCATCCCTAAAAAACAATCAAAGAAATTAACAAAAATAAAAATAAATTTCAAAAAGAAAAATTAAAATTTTTTTGAAATTATAAGAATTGTAAAAACTTAGTTTTGTAACTATTGTTAAAATTGTTGCAAAAAAGTTGTTAATAATGATAGTTTAAATAGTTATGAACAGACCTTGACCATGATATTTGAAACCGGCTAAACATTGCATTGTTTTATTAATTATTAACCCTATTCCTGCTGGGGGGGGTCATGTAGTTTTTTTTACATAACTCAAAAAGTATTGGTCTGAGGCTGTTGTAATTTTCTAACTTTTCCTACATACCCAAAGCCCTCCCTTTAGGCCATAAAAGAAAGGGACGGGAGTCGGGAATTTAAATTGTTACCTTAGGAGCAAGAGATGAAGTTGCTCCAACTTCTCCTCCAACTGCTCTCAGTTTAATCACCTTAACCTCGGATGGGTCGAATTTAGGAGGCATCTTCTCTGAAATTGTTATAATGTGTTTAATCATTTTTTATCGTCGATCTCCTTGTTATCCATGTTTAAGTATAAGACTTCAGCCTTCCATGTATGGCTCCCCAAAGATTTGTTAGTATTTTTTGCTTTACAAAATCATGAAATAGACCCCCAAAAGAAATTTTTCCAAAGCACAAAAAATACCTTAATTTATTCGTATTTAAAAAGTTCAGCTTAATGGCAAAGTCACAAAGTTTTCTTTAGAAATATTTTGATTGATACAGTTTTTAATTTGGGATAAAATATATGAACTTTTTTCAATCAACCAATAAAATCAGTTGTGAGATCAGTCTCATTTAAGGTTTATCAAATTATAAGACTTTAATTGTATAAGATTACTTTGAAAAATGCAATTTTTGAAGAAAAAAATTTAAATGTGAGGGTATTGGGTTTAGGTTGAATCGCCCTTTTATTCATTCAATTTATAATTCAACAATAAGACAATAAGAATATCTGAAGTTATGAAGGTAGAGCTAGTGAACTGTATGGTGAGACTAGCCGGGAGGGTCAGCAGGGAGAGAGAGTAGGATTACACGTGGGGAAAGCAATTCACAGCTGAATCTGGAGTCATGCCAAGCTTTCTACATTCTCTATACACACGCTTTACGGAGGAAAGTCAGGGGTTAAAAAGATGAAAAGGTTGTAAGCTTGCAGGTATTATTATTATTATTATTATTATTATGATTAAACCTGGCGGCAGCATAGATATCGTTCATGGTGATGTTACCGTTGTGTTTAATATTTTTCACTTTCTTCCTGTCCCTAGGAGGCTCCTACACCAAACCAAATATTCAAAATATTTCAAAAATCTTAAATTTTAATTTCAAATATATTTTTGACATCTACTTAAAAGGCCTTAAATAATCTTTTAGATTTCACAGAAAATTTCAACCCTTGCATCAATCTCTTGCTGCCCTAGAAAAGTCAAGTTGCCAGAACATTGTCCTCATGTTTATTCTGCTTATTGAGAATCCGCTATTTGCAAGGTGTCAAAGACGACAGTTGAATCAGTCTTAGAATCCAAATAATGAGAATTTTGATTTGGCCTGCCTTGAGTGCCCTAATGATAAGAGCAGCTGCAGAAGGTACAACACAGACCTAAAATTATAAAAATCAAAATCTAAAAAAAAAGACAATGGAACCAGACTTTGAAATAGGTAGTAGACCTAAAAGTGCAGAAGTTTGCATTTACTTTTTTAGCTGTAAAAAAAAACTTTAATTGTTTAAAATATAATTTGAAGTTTTTCTTATATAAGAATGTTATCTCATTTTTTTCATAAATATTTCTGAGATTGTTTTTTATTTTTTTTTTGTAAATAAATGAAAAACCTGTAATTGAGCAAAGCTATACTCTTTAAAAATGCAGTCTGGTTAAAATATTAGGATCATAAATTTATTGAAAAATAATTCATACAAAAGTAAAAATTAACGTCGGATTTTTAATTTCAAGATAATCTCAAAAATATTTTTAATCACAAAAAAAGAAATGCATCTCAGAAAATAACAATAAATTACAGACAATAACAATAAATTACAGAAAATAACAGTAAATTACAGGAAATAACAATAAATTACAGAAAATAACAATAAATTACAGAAAAAGCAGTAAGTCACAGAAAGAGCAATAAATTACAGAAAAAGCAATAAATCACAGAAACAGCAATAAATCACAGAAAAAGCAATAAATCACAGAAAAAGCAATAAATCTCAGAAAAAGCAATAAATCACAGAAAGAGCAATACATCACAGAAAAAACAACAAATCACAGAAAATGGAATAAATTAAAGAATTAAGCAAATAATTAACAAAATCTCTTACCGTTGCCTGTCTGTTCTGTACAGTGAGCTGAACTGTAACTTTTAATCCTTTCCATTCTTGAGTAGCTTTGGCAATATCTTCTCCAATCTTCTTAGGGGACAAACCTAGGGGACCAACCTAAATATAGTAATCTTAGGGGACACCTAGGGGACCAACCTAAACATAGTAATCTTAGGGGAAAAACCTAGGGGACCAACCTAAAAATAGTAATCTGAGGGGACACCTAGGGGACTAACCTAAACATAGTAATCTTAGGGGACACCTAGGGGACCAATCTAAACATAGTAATCTTAGAGGACACCTAGGGGACCAACTTAAACATAGTAATCTTAGGGGACCAACCTAAACATTGTAATCTTAGGAGACACCTAGGGGACCAACCTAAACATGGTAATCATAGGGAAAAAACTTAGGGGACCAACCTAAACATAGTAATCATAGGGGACAAACTTAGGGGACCAACCTAAACATAGTGATCATAGTGAACACTTAGGATACCAACCTTAACATAGTAATCATGGGGAACACCTAGGGGACCAACCAAAACAAAGTAATCATAGGGGACACCTAGGGGACCAATCTATACATAGTAATCATAGGGGACCAACCTAAACATATGACGCAGTTCCAGGGGGTAGACCTTAGGGACCAACCTAGAGATAAATATCTTAGGAGAGAGTTCTAGTGAACCAATCTTAGCAAAATAATATGTTAAGGGACCAACGGCAACCTAAAGAAAGTCATTTTCTTTGGAGACTTAAAACCTAGAAATAGAGATCTTCTTTAAGCCAAACTTTGTTTAAGGGAGGAGGTAGGTCGGCGGAAACGAAGTAAGGAAAAGATATTTAATAAGTTACAAACTTACTTCTGAATACTCGTTAGTCGTTTTATATTACTAATATTCTGTATTAATATTTTTAATAAAATGTAAAAAGTATCACAAAACATTTTGTATTTTGTACTTACAAGTTTACAACGTGATGTATACGTTTTATTTTTTACATCGTCACTTTGGGAAGAAATAATCATCATTTAAGTACTATTCGAGACCCTCTTTCATCGGAGACCTCCAAGTTCATCTAATCGGAGACCCCCAGATTTTTATCTATGGTTAACCAATGAAAATCTGGAGTCTCCGATGAATAGCTTGCAATCTCCAATAAAAATCTGGAGTCTCCGATAAAAACTATTTTTTTATACCACCATAACACCTGAACATCGAAAGTTAGCTGTCTAATCGTTTTAAATTACCGGGCTGAACATGTATTGCAAGTTTTTAACTCCATACCTTTTGATCGAAGGGGGGGTCAGTCCATAACCTCCCCCCCCTCTATAAATAGTTTCAGACCCCTAAGTCTTTATTGGGTTGAATATAACCCAACCCTTGTATTATCATTTTTATTTTAGCATCCAATTTTTATTTTCTTGGAAATAGAAAACGTATAAAAGTTAATATTATATATTAATTCGCTTTTGCAGGTTTCCCTTAATGTTAAAATAAACACAGGATTTCTATTAAACATGGAAATTTGAAGACAACATTGAGATAGTTTTTTTGTTAAAAATTAGCAATTTTATACAAAATCATATAAGGAAGTTGCCTTGCCTTGCCTGTAAATTAAACTTTCTCTATAGAAGGCAGCCCATTCAACTTAAAATGTGAAAACCAGCAAAGAACTTGGTTCAATCAAGCTTTCCAATCAAAATGTAAAGCAAATTGGTTAGGGGTTTCCTGAGCTATGATTGTACATAAAAAAAATTAAGCAGAAAAACAGAGATTACTACTTATACATATATATACAATAAGAGAAAAATTTGCAACATTTAATCAGCTACAGGGTGTCCCATGAAATATAACAGTTGGTAAATAGTTTAGAATGTTTTCTTCCATAATTTGTTAAGTAGGAGTCATATTATCGTAAAGTTAATCTCAAAGTAAAATATATTCTAGCAAAAGATTTTTAAACGAAATGAACTGCATAAAGCGTTTACTATGTAATACAGTGTATGGAAGGCGACATTCAAAAATATTTACCAACTGTCATGTTTCGTTGGAAACCCTGTAGGTATTTACGTCATTTGTGACATATCAATTTTTAATGTCAGACACAATATTGAATAATGTTGATGTTAGACAAAGTAAATAACATGCAGTGAATGCAGTTTCATCTGATATTTCTTTAATAAATTTCTATACAGTGATAACCAGAAAACTATGGAATAGGAAGACGACATTATAGCAGTATTTCAGTGTATTTAATGTTGTTAGGCAGAAAATGTTTTACTAGACCCTTACTGAATCACTAATTTTGTGAAATGGGTGTGTTTACATAGACACTGACGTTTCTCATGCTCAAATTGTACTTTTTGAATTAATATGTTGATTCTAAAAGTCGTCTTCCTATTGTTTTCTGGTTATTACTGCACTGTTCTATTTGATGTCCGCTACGCAAAAAGACAAAGTAAATAGGATTAAGTATTTTCCTTTCTGCACAAAATACATAACCCCTTTTAATGATTTCTTTTTTGTAGAAAAAGATTATACAGGGTGTCCCACGATACATGACAGTTGATAGACGACTTAAAGCACGTCTTTGAACTTTAAATAATTTTTGTTTTATTTGATAAATTTAAATTTGAAAATAATTCTGAAAATCTCCAATAATAATAAAGCACAAAAAGTATTTTGGGAAATGCAAGGATTAAGTTAATTTTTATTATTATTCCAAGATTTATAAAGGGTAAATCATGTTGCCAAATGAATGCCGGAAATAATTTCAAAGATCACATTGTTCTTTCTCTCAATTGTCATGTTTCGTGGGACACCTGCGTCACAACCTGCCAAGGGGTGAGCGCCAAAGTAGATTTTAAAGATCAATTTTGCGCTCTTACTATAGTAATTATTCACCGAACAAACATATCAAGGGTCTTAAATGATTTCTAAAAAAATGATCTACACTACTGCACTCTTAGCTTAACTACAAAGTCTAGCCAGACACTCCCTGTAAGGTGTGCATATATTTGACTTTGCCTCCAGGGGATGTGGAGACGAGAGAGTTGTCAAGTTCAGTTAAATTCACATTAACAAATTAACAAACTTTAAATTTAAGGGTCTTTAATGTCAAATTAGAGAATTATAAGAATTTTACTAAATTATCAAAATAAATATATCCCTCTCTTTGTCAAAAATGGTTTAATATAATCTAGGGATTCTAACGAAATTAAATTAATTTAAAGTTCTTGGAACTGTCGAAACACTGCCTTAATTTTCGTATTTTCGCTGAAGTTAAATGCAGTAATACGGGCATGTAGGAATTCAAAGGGAAAACAAATTGATCATTTGATGACGAAAACAAATAAAAATTATCTTTTTTAAAAGAATGTTTTTTTTAAAATAAAAAATCAAGTTGCAGCTATTTTTAATCGTCATTTCGTTCACAAAGTTATGTTTACAATTACCACGCTCGTTAACGATTGTAACGTCGTAAACAATCGTTAAAAATCCAGCTGCATTAAAAACCTACCTGAGAAGAGGCATAAAAACAAATTCTAATACACGTAGGTATAAAGTTATGTGATTTCTGCCCAGTGCACTGCTCTAATTGTTAAAGTAAAAGATTCGTCCAATCGCGGGTAAACCCGTGTTAATTTACGTTAAAATTTTCTTTGGAAAAATTTGAAAAAACTATCGGTCTTTCGTATTTTGTTTCGTCTTTTGTTTCTTCTTTTGTTTCATATTTTGTTTTTTCTTTTGTTTCATCTTTTGTTTCATACTTTGTTTCTTCTTTTGTTTCGTCTTTTGTTTCATCTTTTGTTTCGTCTTTTGTTTCGTCTTTTGTTTCATCTTTTGTTTCATCTTTTGTTTCATCTTTTGTTTTATCTTTAGCTTCGTCTTTTGTTTAGTCTTTTGTTTCATCTTTTGTTTCGTCTTTTGTTTCATCTTTTGTTTCGTCTTTTGTTTCATCTTTTTTTCGTCTTTTGTTTCATCTTTTGATTCGTCTTTTGTTTCGTCTTTTGTTTCATCCTTTGTTTCGTCTTTTGTTTCATCTTTTGTTTCATCTTTTGTTTCGTCTTTTGTTTCGTCTTTTGATTCGTCTTTTGTTTCATCTTTTGTTTCATCTTGTGTTTCGTCTTTTGTTTTGTCTTTTGTTTAGTTTTTGTTTCGTCTTTTGTTTCTTCTTTTGTTTCGTCTTTTGTTTCGTCTTTTGTTTCGTCTTTTGTTTCGTCTTTTGTTTCGTCTTTTGTTTCGTCTTTTGTTTCGTCTTTTGTTTCGTTTTTTGTTTCGTCTTTTGATTCTTCTTTTGTTTCGTCTTTTGTTTCATCTTTTGTTTGGTCTTTTGTTTTAAAATTACCTATAACACTATTATTTTGGCACGACGAGCTTTACAGTTTTTGGACTTAAATTTTCTCTACATCTCGAAGGTTCTCGCCTTAGCTAGGGACAAAATCAAATCTAAAAAGGCTTGAACCTTCTCGATAAGAAGAAAATTTCTGTCCAAAAACTTTCTAACACTGCGAACCAAAATAACAGTTTTATAAATAGTTATTTAAAACGTGTATGTTTAATAATTTAAAATAAAAAATAACGTGAACAATTTTATAAAATTTTAAATCTAAATTTTTTTAATTCATTGTTTAGCTAAATTCGGTCTATAAAAAGGGTTAACAATTGCTATAATCAAACAAAAAAAAATTTGTAAATAAAGAATAATAAAATCTGTTTTTAGAATTAACTACATTTTTTATCCTTTACACGCTAGGGCCATTGAAAGATTCAGGCTTGATATAAAAGAAACCATATATTATTGATAGGATGTTCGATACATTTCTCATATATGGCAACGCCACAGATCATCGATGAAACTAGGATACTCAAACTCGTCCGGAATTTCTTTCGGAAAGGGGTTTCCGGCACTCTTTTCTGACGGAAAAAAATAATCAAATTTCCGGCGCGGAAACGGAAATGAAATTTCCTGAGGATACTCTAAAGCATACCCATTGTAAAAAGACCAAACTAAAGACCAGCAGAGACCAAAATTTACCAAAATTCAAGTCGTAATTAAAGTTTAATCTTTGGTGGGCAACCCTGTATATCAAATATCAGTCAATGGGATTAAAATATTTTATATTTAATCCTCTATATCAATCATCAACTATTGAATCTAAAAAGCCTTCTCAACCGATCCATCTTGAACTTTCCTCGCTTAAAAGTTTAAGGATAATTATTAATGGAATTGGGGGAAATTTACATATTTTTCGATAACATAGTTTTTTATGAGACCAGGGGGATTCATCTTCAGTTTTAAACTCTAATTTTTGATATATTTGAACATTTTTCCTTCTTGAATTATGAAACAATACCAAACAAATATTTTTAGATTTATTGTAAAGTCATTTCTGTATCAAATAAGTTCATGAGTATTTTAGGTCATCCGAACCAACCCAGAGACAATAAGATAAACGAAGATTATTACTACTTTGCGTATATATTTCTTCTTTATATATAAAGTTTTAAACTCTGTTTGTTTGTCTGTTTGTTTTTCCGATCACAACGGCGCGCAGGAACCCCTGTATACCAATTTGCCTCAACTTTGGGCCAAATTTCCAGGTAAAATCGTTTACGTGCGGATAAACCGGGTTCCCAAGCTAGTAAATATAAAAAATACAGCACTGTTAAAAAATTTAAAAATCCAAACGTAAAAAATTAAAAATATCGTATTATTAATTTATCATAATCTAAGTATGTATAGATCGCGGTGCAGGTATATATCTATAGAAACATCAATAACTATCTAATGGATCTGAGAAACCAATTTACAATGAAAAACCTATTCTGCGTGTAATAAGATACCAGAGTCCGCAGAATTGATGATATCTCAGATCCCATTAAATAAGATCTAGTTTCTCACACACTGTACACTACTAGTTTATTGACTGCATCCTATAGACAAATGTTGTCACATTAGTCGCTGTCTTACATTTTATACAACTTTATAAAACATACAATTCTATCATCTAGAAAATAGATAAGACCAGGATACCAGAATACCAGGATACCAGGATACCAGGATACCAGGATACCAGGATACTAGGATACCAGGATACCAGGATACCAGGATACCAGAATACCAGTATACTAGGATACCAGGATACCAGAATACCAGGATACCAGGATACCAGGATACCAGGATACTAGGATACTAGGATACCAGGATACCACGATACCAGGATACCAGGATACCAGGATACCAGAATACCAGGATACCAGGATACCAGAATACCAGGAATCAGGATACCAGGATACTAGGATACCAGAATACCAGAATACCAGTATACTAGGATACCGGGATACCAGGATACCAGGATACCAGGATACCAGGATACCAGAATACCAGAATACCAGGAATCAGGATACCAGGATACCAGGATATCAGGATACCAGGATACCGGAATACCAGTATACTAGGATACCAGGATACCAGAATACCAGGATAACAGGATACCAGGATACCGGGATACCAGGATACCAGGATGCCAGGATACCAGAATACCAGGATACCAATATACCGTTAATACCAGGATACCAGGATACCAGGATACCAGGGTACCAGGATACCAGGATACCAGGATACCGGGATACCAGGATACCAGGATACCAGGATACCAGGATACCAGGATACCAGGATACCAGGATACCGGGATACCAGGATACCAGTATACCAGGACACCAGGATACCAAATACCAGGATACCAGGATACCAGGATACCAGGATACCGGGATACCAGGATACCAGGATACCAGGACACCAGGATACCAGGATACCAGGAACCAGGATACCAGGATACCAGAATACCAGGATACCAGGATACCAGGATATCAGGATACCAGAATACCAGGATACCGGGATACCAGGATACCAGGATACCATGGATACCAGGATACCAGGATACCAGTATATTAGGATACCAGGATACCAGTATACCAGGATACCAGGATACCAGGATACCAGGATACCAGGATATCCAGGATACCAGGATACCAGGT